CCTTCTCCTTCTCCTTCTCCTTCTCCTTCTCCATCTCCTTCTCCCTCTCCTTCTTCTTTCGCTTATTCTTTGGTCTTTGGCAATCATTCTTTATTTCAATTCTTTACTTATTTTGTCGTATATTCGTATATTCCTATTTCGTTTCTGTATTCCTTTTTGTTTCTTTCTTCTAGTTGTATTTCTAATTTCTAATTCTTTCATTCTTTCTTCGTCCCTTCCGTCTTTATTCCATTTTTATTTCTCTTCTATTTATTTGTTTTCCTCCTTCCTGCCAAACCTCAATGCCCGTTTATCCACGATTCATAGGATTTATTATTCATGTTTCTGATTATTTACTTGGATTCTTCTCCATCACACAATACACTAGTTTGCTTGTAATGAAGCCGATCAATTCGATTGAACATTCTAGACCATTCAAATTTTTTTTTTCTTTTTTTTCTTTTTTCTTTTGGTTAATAGTTATGGCGAGCTCTCGTAAAATTATTACAGTTAGCCGACATTCGGCCGAAAAATTAGTAGCTAACGGACAATTGGGTATACCCCCATTGGCGGCCTTTCATATGGGACGACATAGACACTATCTTGGAAATATGTCTCCTTAAACAATCCCACAATGCACTGCACTGCCAACTCGATCCAGTTTTTTTCCTCATCCTTGGACTATAGCTAATTAGAGCACGAAGATGTTTTGAACTGATTTACATACAAAATGTGAGCATGCGCAGAAGGTTTGTCGGTCGCGTCCGACCTCAAAGTCGTTTACAGGGCCTAAGTTTCTCCTTGTCAGAGTACGGCTCTGGTAACAAGATTGCTTCAACTTGTTGGTACTATAATTGTTATAGGTCATTTGCATTATAGCATCATTTACATCCACTACCAGAATCCCTTGCACACTTTCTTTTGTTTAGTTATTTAGCACCAATTGTCTTACTATTCTCTTGAGGAAATGCGTATATTGTATTTGGTGTTGATGGTTTTCACGGCGGCCATGTTGGAGGACTTTGACAAAAGAATTGTCAATGAATTCTTTTGTTATATCCTCCAACATGGCCGCCGTGTCTTTTGTTATTTAATTCTCTTGGGAATGGTTGAAAACCATCAATTGCTAGTGCAATAACGACATCATGCAAAATGATCACCCCACTACTCACCCCTCCCCYCTTAGTCAATAATTTGTCATTTCAAATGAAGTGGCGCTCACCCAAATAGCATGACCTACGGTGATAATCATCGTAATATGTCCAAACAGGCAAAATGTGAAATATATTTACCTCGTTTTATCGGATTTTATCAACTCTCCTTTCCCATGCCTTAGTCCATTCTTCCACTGACCATGATAAATATCTCCATCATCGTACGTAAAACTCGCTTCTCCAAACTTCGGACGYGGTCTTTCCTGCAGCACGGCTTCCATGTCGTCGTCGACGATATCACAACAGTCTCCACATTGACAGAATTCTCCACAACTTGARCGTATTATTTCGGGACAACGACAGAACCCTGGACATTCTATGAACTTCAAGCAATAGCATATACAATATTTAGCGCAGTTTGCTCCCATTGTTTTTTATGTTCGGTTTGAGTATTGAACGATTCATCGAAGAGTCACGTTCTGTGGAYGTGACGTTGTGTTACACGTGGTATCATATATTTTTGTTTGTAAATTAATCGCTAAAGAATGCTGAGCAGGTCAWTTTTCACGACTCTTGCTTCGAAAAGGTGATGAAATAAAGGCCCCGTCCACACTATGCCAGATAAATTTGAATCCGAATTTTTATTTATTCGGTTAGGCCTACCGTCCACACTAGTCCGGTTGAATCCGAAACGATTCGTTACCGAAAATGAATTTTTTTTCGAATACGGTCTCCAGAGTGGAACAATTTGAAAACGCCGACTAGCTGTATTAGTGTGGACGGAGAATATTTCGAGCCATTTCGTATCCGAATTTCTTCGAATACGACGACGTCATTATTGTTATGGGAACATGGCGGGAAAGCTAARAATTCACCGCGGGCTCAATTTCAGCTTCGATTCACATGCTCAGATACCGCCTCTGATCGGACTAGYGTAGACGCGAAACATTTTATCCGTTTTCATGTGTGGACGGAMAACTTTTTTTTCGGCTTCGGTGTGAAAGTTGCGGATTCAAATTTATCCGGCATAGTGTGGACAGGGCCTAAGAGAACGGATTGGAGGTGTGAAAATAACCACACTGGGGTAACTCGATCGTTCTTTCTTTCTTTCTTTCTTTCTTTCTTTCTTTCTTTTCTTCCTTTTTAACTATTCAAAGCGAACCATTGTACAAGAACGTTTGTATTTTATTTTGTATGAATCTCTGAAAACACTTTTTTCCATTATTTGTTTTACGAAGTTTCTCTCCGTTAATTCAACAATTTTTACAGACAATTCAATTTCCTATCTTAACGTACAGCTACAGCATTGCTGTCATATATCCCCATCAATTAATCCCCTGCAGGAACTGATTATATCAAAACAAAAATTCTTCTCATGAGATTTGAAAAAATTCTCTAAGTTTTTCGTTGCTTAAGACCCCATTTTGAGGTCAAATTTGAGGCTTGAGAGGAAAAACTACTCGAGTAAACATTGCATTGCATTAAGGGGACGAAATAGACCCCTTGCAGCACGTCAGAATGCAGCTCAATTTGGAAGACATAACAAGAGGTTTCCAATTCTCATGAGATTGAAATACTTTTGTTTTGTCCTCCAAATTGAGCTGCTTTGACGTCACATGCAAGGGGTCTATTGAGCTGTTTTGACGTCACATGCAAGTGGTCTAAAACCCCATATTGACAAGGCCTCGTAAAACAAGGCCTCGTCTCACCATGCATTGCAATGCCAGCTCAAACCTTTTCTAAACCTCGGAATCGCTTATACCTCACACTAGTTATCGTATACGAAGAACTTTCGTCTAATACAGACTGACTCAAGTASGCATGTTCATAACGCATGCGTAGTCAAAGAATATTATCATTACATTGTTATAATAAACCCAWATTATTACTAGTCATTAAATTTCGTGCTCCAAAAATAGAAGCCAAATTACGAAAGTGCTAGAGTGCCAATAATATATCCGTGAAACTTTAGTAATACTAAATAGCACAATTTCATGCAAATTCCATTGTTTTCTATTGTTTAGTTACCACTGCTTTGTACTATTTAGGCCCCGTCCACACGTATCATGGAATTTTTGTACCCGCAAATTTTTTTTGGCGGATACGGGTAGCGTCCACACGTGCCCCTAAATTTTTGTGTCCGTATCCGCAAATTTTACGAAAACGGATACGTGTGGACGGATACGTGTGAAAACGATTCGAATACGCTGCGTGTGGACGCAAACATTTTTCGTATCCGCAAAAAATAATTTGCGGATWCAGAAATTTCCGGATACGTGTGGACGGGGCCTTAGTAAGTAGTGTTTCACGGATAAATTGTTGCACTCTAGTATACCCAGCTTTTATAGTTAACTTTTTTTTCTGTTTAAGGAGACGGAGTTGAGAGACCACCCGTCAATAGCTCGAATGGACCACAGATCAATTATCCCCACAAGGCGAAGCTAAGTGAGATCTTCATCCCATAGCTCATGAAAATGCCATTCGATATTCTGGTTGAGTGYGGTCAAGCTCAAAACATTTCGGGTCGAATCTCCCATGAAATATTGATGTCATCGTGATTTTTCTTGCTTTGCCTTTTTTCGTTTTTTATCACTCTACCAGGATGTCGAAAATTGGCTACAGACCTCTTGCATTGGTTTCCTAGAGGCATTGTTCTGGRGGACAAWACAATAGGCCKTTTYRATTTTCTTATGAAAAAAACCTCCATTGTTTTGGTCCCCAGACCAATTCCTCTCGGRATTCAGTGAGAAGGGTCTATTTACCATTTACCATACATCGGTTCACTGGTCAAACACAAAGCATTCAGTCGAGGTTGCAAGGTYCAAATTTMAWYAATCCTTTGCGAAAGTACCTTGGCGCCTCGCTTGAGCGCTTTGTGTTTGACCTGTGAACCAATGAATGGAAAATGGTGAATTACAACTTTTATGAAGTTGCGCATGCGCGAAAATTTAAACGGCAAGAGGTTTGAATATTTTTAGCCAATAACGAGTCSAGATTAGCTCACCCCACTTTGCCAATAGATCCATAGTGAATCCGGAAGCAAGCAGCCATATTGGATGATAATTAACACTACATCATTCAAAATGGCGTCCTTGTTCAGTTATAGTCACAACGACAGCTATTCTAAGTTATTTCAATAAATTTTACAAAAAGTACGTTATGTTATAACGTGTGTTGTATAATAATGATTACGTTATGGTCTATTTTTGGACGCTGTCGTATGATTGGTTGTTATCACCGATTAGTAGTCGGTCACGTGACGACTGTTCTTCTTCGCGCGCTTTTTCGATCCTTTCTTGATCTTCTCTTCGAACAGTTGCACTGTTGTTAAAAAAAATGCAAATTCAAAGGATTAAACAAGCGCGACTTTTGGTCCTGTCGATACAACAGCCATCTCATATAGAGGCTTTCCATCACGTGATGGCAGCCATGACAGGAMRCTCAACAATAGTCTTTTTCCCTTAGTAAACTAAATTCTTTCTCATGTAAATCAGATTGGAACAGATTAAAATGTTCCTGCCTCCTGTTATGGCTGCCATCAAGTGAAGGTGCAAAGCCTCTATTACAGCAGTTTTCGTCATGACGCTGAAAAGCCGGCTCACGACACGAACACGAGCGTGACACGGCAAGGTATACGCCGGACCAATCAAATTGCACAAGAATTATATTTACTCTCCATCCAATTAAATGCCCGAAACAYGGCTTGAACATGTCGCGGACACGGTCACGCCAATGTCACGGCACTGACAGATCAATCACATTGCGCGAGAAAAAAATTCAGCCAATCAAGATTCTAGAAASCATCACGGTCACGGCAAGGCACGCATACGGTACCGAGCTTTTCACAGTCATACGAAAACCGCTGTGTTGGATATAAGTATGTTACCTTTCATCTTCGTCATCTTGCTTTACTCTTTTACTAAATGGTCGTGACGTCACAGGGCTTCGTCGGAGACGTTCGTCGGGTTTCTCTCCAACGTACTCATCTTCGTAGAAAAATCCCACGAGCCTGGGCGAGAAAAATAACTATTAAAGCCAGAAGCTTGTCGAGCCGTGTACCCTCCATATAGACTTCTTTCTATATTCGAACATGTACGTTCTATACAGACTACTCTCAACTCACATTGATTTTTATGGAGGGAGGAAAACCAGAGAACCTGGAGAAAAACCCTCGTGGCAAGGGAGAGAACAACACATCAAACAAACTCAACTCACATGTTGATTTTTACGGAGGGAGGAAAACCGGAGAACACGTAGGAAAACGACACATTCGCGGCTCGGTAAATATTCCACCGATAATTAATCGCCTTCGGCAAAATATTTGTGAAATATAACACACATCGTATTGCACGAATATTGTCATGTGAAAATAATAAAAAAATACAAAATAACGAATGAAAATTTAAAGCAGCAAGACATCCAAAATGATTATAAGATATGCTTTGGGTTTTGAAAGACAGTATTTAGGTTCTGAAAAAGAAGAAATGGTAGGCAACGTTTTGTGATRTAAGCGCGCGAAAATTAAAGTGCACAATGCTTTTGAAATTTGAATCCCCCAAAAATTAGCATTGGAAGGCTAGTAATGAAAGATTCGAGGCGATGGTGATGGTGGTCGCTAGGCTAACAGAAGTTGAAATAAATAAGTTATCTCTATTTCATCTCACACACCGAACGCATAATTTATTACTACTAAGTTATCATAGTTTAATTGGATTTTTTTTTCTTTGGGTGAAAGTAGGCGAGATAGGGAAGCCATCAAACATTTGCCTTTCAGATCATTAGGGTTTGTGTCTAAGTGTTTTCTAAGGGGAGAAGGGGAGGGGGCAACTAAGGAAGCCATTCGACTGCTTCTGCTAGGATTTTTATCTAATAAGTAGTTTTCGAATTCTAAGGGGGACTAAGGGCGCCGTTCAACTGCAAAGGGGGGATCGGGGGGAGGGGAGGATAACCGAAGAAACTAATATTCACTTGCTATTTACAAAAAAAAAAACAACAAAAAAACAAAAACAGATTTCTTTCCATAGTCAAAACAAATCATTCGACCGAAAGGAATCAAGCTACTGATTAACGTCATGATTGAATGACCACGTTCACAATCACAGTCTAGTGAAGTTTTGTATTTAATACTAACACACGTAGAACACTGTAATTCATATCTCTTTGTCAAGAAATGTTCATCAAATTGCGTTCCTAAGCGACTAACAGCCCTAATGCTTCGTAACTTAGCAACGAGTTTTTTCATATGAAATGCTAGAGCTTAAATCAATCTGGTCTGAATATTAATTTCAAGTATCTATAAAGAATATAACTCATCTTACTTGATCATTTAAATAATGAGAATATTTGCACTTTTCTTCGTCCAAAAAGGATAGCTTTCTGATTGAAATCATGAATCAAAATTGCGAGAAATCGAATATATAACCGTACTTGTTTTGGGATGAATTTGAACTTTGTTAGCTAACTATGATTTGAATAACAATGAATATAAAGTCTGCTCGCTTTACTCTAGACCTACGTAGGCTTTCCTCTTAGCAAAAATATATCATACTATATATTTTATCATTATGGCTTTCAAAAAATGTAAAATTAAACTTATTTTTGTACAATTAAAGTACAAAATCGAGGGAATTTTTTTTCCATTTTTTTAGGTATATTTATTAGTGTTTCTTTCCAAAAATGCTTCACTGGCTTAAATTATCTAAACAGTGAATATATAGTAATTTTTACATAGAAACTTTAGTTAGACCTACTGTTGAGAAACATATAAACTCACCATGTTTGATTGTAAAATATAAAATCTGATATTTTGAATAAATATAAATACAAAGTCTGAACTTAAGGATACCTTTTTTTTTTTTAATTAAAGAAGTGTCTATGTTTCCATTGTATCTAAATGTTTTGGCTTGTAATTTAGTGTAAAAATTATCTCTCAAACAACCTTTTTGCCGACAATTGCATAAGCTTATTCGCTTCTTCGATAAAACAAGCCTAAAGATTGAAGAAGATTTTTAAAAAGATTAGAAAAGAGTGAAAGATTTGGACAGAGTTTGAATTACACTGAACTTAAGCAATTTCATTTGGAAATTAAAATCTCATACAAAGCTAGTTCTACGGTTATAATTGCCGAAAGGATTAATTGTAGGATAAAGTAAAGTAATTAAGAGTTGAGCTAAGGAAAACAATTTTAGTTCAATAATAAAGTTTTCATTAAAGAGTTTTAAGAAACTTTACCTAGTGCCATCTTTTTTCTCCAAAGAGCCATAACCATGGCGCTTCCCACGTCTCCATTCTCCAACGTAGAAGTCTCCATTTTCGTACTGATAAATGCCTTCTCCATCATCTGGTTTCTCTTTTGGCTTCGCATTTCCATTTGAGATTATCATTTCTTCGTCTTCGTCAAAATCTTCGCAGCAATCACTGCACATCCACCAATCCCCAAACCATTTTCTACAGCAAATGCAACAGCTACATTTTGGTCCACACTCGCAGCAACGGCAGAAATGGCACTGGCAAATCTTGGACGTACATTCACCCATGTTGAAGAACTAGAGATATAAACTACTTGAAGCAACGAGGAAGAGACAACAATCCAAACGAATCGATAATGTAAGATCAAGCCTGTTCGAGCAAAGCCCTCTACTCCCTCACTCTAAGCGCGCTAATGATTTGAAGCATACATAATTCCAGAACCTGGAGATATTTGCATAAATCTAATGTCAACTCCTTAGAAAGTCAGCGAATCGTGACTTTAAACCTGATATAGCATACATTCCCTTGAGAGGTAAAAACAATGTTGTATAATATATGTCTACAAAATCTGAAACTCGATATTCAGTTATTTTTGTCACTCGTCCAAATCAAGCTCAAAGGGTCACGGAGCTATTTTCTTCGTTATTGTATTCAAAATTTTTATATTACAATTCATTCTACAAATTAATACGTATTAATCTCCGGGCATTATTAATTTATAAGCTCGCTACGTATCTATAAAAGCTTTAAGCACTTGATTAATATATCTTTCAAGTTTTCACATTCTTCACTTCTTTTTCTTGCCGCCCATAATACAGCTTGGACTGCCTGTGGTTAGATTGGGGGAAAAAACAAAGAAAAACCTTTCCTCTCGGGATTTGGTACAAAGACTCTAAAAAAAATCGAAATCCTTCTCCAGTGATTATCAAGCCATTTTTACCCCACCTTTCCCCCAAACGATTCCTCGTCGTCAAGCACTTCCGTTTCCGGCACACGGCCGTACCGACAGGTTGCACTTTTGTATACAAACACTAGAATCCCTGTTTATAACATTATAAATAAATAACTTTTTTCCAGTACTTACACGATTTTTTCCCCTTGGAATCGTAAAAAAGGTAAGCAATTCAGGCTAATACCAATTGTAAAGATAAAATAAGTATAGGACTACATGCTGTCCAATTTGGAAATAATTGAATGAAAAAATTCCGAGGACTGACAAAATTGGAAGAGGCCGATAAGTCGAGTCTAATTTAGAGGAATTTTTTGAATTCAATTACTTCCAAATTGGACAGACATGTAGTCCTATTGCAGATTAATTATATCATCTCAAACTATACAAGACTGATTCCATAAGTCATAGTTTTCCCTCGAAAGAATGCGAATGGAAACGATCCAAATTAATCTTTAATTTGGGCAGGAAAGAGAATTTGAAAATAATACAATTGTTGCCTATATGGGATTATAGAGTGATGATACAATCAAAACATATAACGTACTGATATTATAAATATAACTTAGCGGACAAAGTGAGTTAAGGTTAAAAATATTTAGTGTACAACCGTTCGGATAGCAAGGTCTTACACAGGTCTTTGTGTCGTATTGCTGGCTTTCACTCAGCTGATAAAAGTCTTTGAATCTCATTATCTGCTCCACACGGTGGTCAAACACTGACCACCATGTGCTGTCAGCCAGAAAGAACCCTATTGAAAACTTGTGATTCAGCTGATGAACATTCCGCACGAGACGAAATTACGCCACTAAGTGCAACTCAGCAATGTGTGTATAGTTGCTAATTCTTCGTTTGCACGTTACGTCATCGCGGCCATGTTGGTACCATTTAACAAAAGATTTCTCATTAGCATCCATTGTTAACGGTACCACAATGGCCTCCATGTTTATGTCTTTTAACTCTCTTAGGAATGCTTGCAACCCATCAATTCGTTCTCTCCTGTGCTTCGAAGTTTTTTCTCCGGGTTCTCTAATTTTTTACTACCTTCTTAAAAATCACTCTAATTTCCAAATCAATATATCTTAATAAAGCTTTCGGCGTCTAGTTGGAGCCTGGCTCTGCGGTGATTGTTCACGTCGTCATAGGACGACTTCCAAAGCTTATAGATTTTCAGAGTTTAAAAAATCTTTTTTATAAAATAACTGCTATGAATGTCGCGTTCTGATTGGTTTGGAGCGCGTGCTTTATGAGAGCACATTGCACGCGCGCGCACTTTCCATTGCGTCATTCCCTATTATTGTAATTTGTATTTTATAAAAGAAATAAAAAACTTGCTTGATGTGCTGTGTGCTGTCATAAAGCACTTGGGGATTAGCAGAACACTCGAGAAGTGTCGAGAAGCCCTCCGCTACGCGTCGTGCTTCTCCTAACACTTCTCTCGTGTTCTGACAACCCCCGCGTTCTTTATGACAGCACACAGCAAGCGCGCGCGTTTTCTATTTCTTCATTATTGCTTTTGAGCTCACGGTATTAGCTGATATTTAGCGACAGAAGCAGTCTAGACTGATCCCATAAGTCGTAGTTTTCGCTCCTTTGTTGGCTTGTGGCCGCTCAGAATCGACAAAAGAGCGAAAACGCCCACTTCTGGAATTAATATGGGATATCATCCCTAATATTGTTTTCGAGTTGTCTATCTAAATGTCTAAATTTTTTTTTCGGTGGACAACGTTAATGACATTGACTGTATATGACATCTGAAAAGGATATCAAATTCGTATACAGTCAACTCTCGCCTTGCGAACACCCCGATATTACAGACGCCTTGCTATTGCAGACACATGAGAAAAATCCGCGGCCACAAACACTGACTAAAAAATGACCAAAATCAACTCTCCCTATTTGGGACGCTCGCTATTACGGACACTAAGTGATGGTCCCAAGGTTGTCCGCTGTAACGAGTGTTGACTATATAGCATGTGCATTGTATATGGAACTTTTTCTTAATCTTTGTATTAATTTCTAAATGACAAAAAATACTAAATATTATCGTTGTCGATCCGATTATGATGTATTCAGTACAGCTGAAGACCACTGACAGAATGCGACCTTGCCTGCTGATTTTGATATACGTCACGTGTTACTTGGGGTCCAAGCTTGTGATTGGCCGAGGCAACTGGGTACAGTGGTGTGATACGGATACCCCAATCATAGACCAAGCAAAAGCGAGCTCGGGTCACGATTTCGCTGATAACCACAACGGAAAACTTCACGTTGATTTTGGCCAATCCTGTTTGATGGCGTGCAAAGACAAATGCACTGAAGAATGGGAGGGCTGCAAGTCGTTTGACTACGCCATCAAAGCAAATGAGACTGCGCTAGCGGAATGTTTCTGTTGGGGGTATAAAAAGCACCCAATGCTACGACCGACGACTAGCTTTGCACATGTGAATTGTTGGCCAAAATAAAGTTATCCGGGGGGAGGGGGGCAGACCCAGGGGTGATGAGAAGGTGACCACACCCCTTTAACCCTTCACAAATAAAAACAATTGCCTTAATAAAAATAAAAATAAACATTTGATCCGCATAAACTTTAACTCGGTTGACTTAAAGTTCTCAACATAAGTTTCCGTCAATAACGGAACCTTCTAGAAAGTACTGTGGATGCGATCAAGGCTAACATAGACACAAAAGAAATCACGCCTGGTAGACTTTATGGCATTTCTTTCTGTGTTTTCATGTTGGCCTCGCACTCATGATACTTTTAAGAAGGCTTTGCTTGAGACGCCATTTTTTTTTTCTTTCACCATTTTCCCGCCCTTTATGGGTTTCCTGTGGTAATTGACGCATGGTATCTAGCTATAGCAAGGGTATAGGTCTAATAGACCTCTTCGGCTCTGACTTAATGTTTTCCCATTTCAGACCACATGTCATTCCCTAGAGTATCATATATTTCTTTAACGGTCGCACATGAGAAGACACATGAAAAGGGATACAACTCAAACAAAGGATCTTATTCTCAAGACCACATGTCATTCCCTAGAGTATCATATCTTTCTTTAACGGTTGCACATGAGAAGACACATGAATATGGATACAGCTCAAACGAAGAATCTTATTCTCAAGACCATGTGTCATTCCCTAGAGTATCATTTCTTTATTTAACGGTTGCACATAAGAAGACACATGAATATGGATACAGTTCAAACGAAGAATCTTATTCTCAAGGGAATGACAAATGGGAAAACATTACGTCAGAGCGGAAGAGGTCTATTAGACCTGCCTAATGGTCTACGAGTTAATAGCCCATGGGGCCTTCGGAGGAAAAATGGTAGACAAACCAGTTGATCTAACCAGCTGATCTGAAAAAGTGACGTAGAAATAACGTCACTGCAAAACTGAAGTGTCATGAAGCCTGTGAAAATAGACCTTATTCGTGGTGTGACAATGTTTTCCCAATTCAGCGTGACAAACCTCTGGGGGATTCATTTTCTTTTGTTTTTACTCTTCGAAAAATTCATGAGTATCCCAAAGGATACGAAAGGAATAATGATGATATCCCGACGGGTTTCAAAACAATAGCTGTTCATTCCCCCAGAGGTTTGTCTTGTTCAATAGTCATTTCCGAGATATGCTTCGCTTGTCACGCACAAAGGTTTCAGTACGAGGGTACGTCCTAAATATAATTTATTCTTACCGCCTGTCACGAATGACTGAGCATTTAGCACGTAGCCTCATGCTGAAACCTTTGTGCGTGACAAGCGAAGCATATCTCGGAAGTGGGCTGTTGGGGAAACATTGTCACACAACGAATTGCCTGGCATTGCGATAAAGACAACAAACTCATAACTGTGTCACTGTTATCAATCTCTTACTAACAAAGTTTTTTTCCTTATTTGGTGGCCTGGGAATCCATAATTTCAAGAAAAAATGTGACACCTCAGTTTTGCAAATTTTCTCGACTCTGATTGGCTAACATTTTCTCTCAGATATCAGCTTGTGTCACTAATTATATCATAATTACATTAGTTTACAATTATACCGAGTCTCACGTTCCATATGGAAACAGCTAATCCAACTCAATAAGGATTTTTCTTTGGCCAAAAATCCCGCTTCGAGTATCTTTGAATCAGTAGAGAGTTTTAGATTAGAGAGTTTTAGATTGACTTTTTTTCACCCCCGCAAACGGCAAACGTGACCACGTTTTCATAGTTTTCGTGTATTTTACTTTACCTTTTACAAACCTTCTCACCAAGCGCAAATACTCTTGTTTTTCTACTACTTGGACTTTTTTGCGATTCTTTTTCAGTAATTCAAAAGAATTTTTTACTGGTCAACTGACGTTTCACGTTTGCCGTGAACGTAAATCTAAAACTCTCTAGTCTAGCACTTATCTCTGCTAACTTTTTCTGTGACCTTTTTACAATTGTCCAAAAATTCTTGGCACACTCCACGAGTCATCTCATCATCGTCGCTTTGTGAGCTATACTCCAAATCACTTGCCCTGTACAAACAAACAATTGCTTGAAATATTTCAGTTTAGCTAGTTACTTTTGTTCTGGTTCAAATGCTGAAAACCACGTCTACTATAAACCTTTTTAGCTTGAATGAAACGTTTTCCCATTTCAGACCACGTGTCATCCCTAGAGTATCATATCTTTCTTTAACGGTTGCACATGAGAAGACACATGAATATGGCTACAACTCAAACAAAGAATCTTATTCTCAAGACCACGTGTCATTCCCTAGAGTATCATTTCTTTGTTTAACAGTTGCACATGAGAAGACACATGAATATGGCTACAACTCAAACAAAGAATCTTATTCTCAAGACCACGTGTCATTCCCTAGAGTATCATTTCTTTATTTAGCGGATGCGCATAAGAAGACACATGAATATGGATACAGCTCAAACAAAGAATCTTATTCTCAAGAGAATGACACGAGGTTTGAAATGGAAAAAACATTACACCCAAGCAGAACTTTGGAATGCATCTCAATCTGGGGGACAAAACAATAGGTTCCAATTCTCAGGAGATTGAAATTCTTTTGTTTTGTCCCCCAGATCGAGCAGCTTTGACGTCACATATGCCAGGGATTTACTATCAGCAAAATTCCTCATTGAAAATAAAATCGAAATGTTGATATCTTACTCGTTTTCCATTTGCAATGGCTTGGCGTCATCTAAAGGGGAAGTTCTCTTTTTTCTCATTTTTCTTTCTAGTTCTTCGTTTGGTTCTTTTCCAACATATTCATCTCGGTAAAACCAGCCAACATTCCTGCAAGAAAATCAAAAAGAAAATTTATTATGCGGCTGGCATGGACTTGTGTGGGAAGCGAATCTGGCTTTGTTGAGGGGGGGGGGGGTTCTCCCCAGAATTAATTTTTTTTTTGGCAAATTCATTTTATATTTTAGACGTTCCGAGGTCGAGTTGGCATTACAACGAATTGCATTATAGGACATATTTTAGGTTCCCCCTTAAACACTAAAATGCACTGCAAATCCAACTCTAGTCTTTCACGCAACCTCGAAATAGTTAACAGGCAGTGCCGGTGCCCTAATGCGTGCCTTGCTGCGAACGTGATGCTTTCTAGAATTTTGATTGGAGAATTTTTTTCTCGCGCAATATCATTGGTCTGGCATGCAGTGCCGTGACATTGGCGCGAAAATGTCCGTGTCATGTTCATGCCGTGTTTCGGGCATTTGATTTGATGGAGAGCAAAATTTTGTGTTATGTGATTGGGCTGGCGCATATTGCTACGTCACGTGACATTGGTGCGACAATGTCCTTGTCATGTTCGTGCCGTGTTTCGGGCACTTGTTTGGATAGATATTTTTGTGCCATGTGATTGTTCTGGCGTAGTTGCTGTGTCACGACCGCGTTTGTGCCGTGAGCTTTTCACAGTCATTGAAAACTGCTCTTTCTTATAAGATGTACACAAGAAACAAAACAAAAACAAACAAACAAAAGAAATATGAAGACGTTTTAAGGAGCTCCTAAGTCCCTGTACGTGGTCTGAAAAGAAAGTTGACCTGGTGGAAGTATTTGCTGTAACGGGCTTTTCATTCTTGAAATTCTTTGAGCTCTCATTGGTCAACGTTTGACAAGCTCGGCTCCTAAATCAAGTAGCGTTTTTATTCAAAGTGCTACTTTGACGAAAATCGCTCAAACTTGGATTCAGCTGAAACTTCCTAAGAATACTCTTTAAAGGTCCAATAATCACTGTATGAAGTGTTTTCTC